TAGAAATTAATAGGCCATAATTTGTCAAGTTATGTTTCATAACCAGATAAGTTATGGATAAACTTGTCAAGTTATGGTTCATAACCAGACAAGTTATGGACAAAAATCGAGAATAACTTGTCAAGTTATGGTTCATAACCAGACAAGTTATGGACGAAAACAGTAATTTAGCCTATTTATTAACTTATGTAAACTATTGACCTATTAATTTTAATTAATCTCAAGTCTTGACCTATTTTTCTCTTTCTTCCTAAATTTATTATGGATGTCTTTTAATTTAAACTACGTGTCGTTAAGTCTTCACTCGCGAGTATGAAAGCGATATGTCGTTTGACTCCGGGCCCTAGATATCTTGATATGATTGGTTTTGTCGAAGAGGTCCATATGGAATAGAAAAAGGCCAATCCAAATTGGATCTCAGAATCGGATGGTAGAAAACTAGTTTAACAATCACAATCCTTAAAGTCGACATTCTCTAGAAAGGAGCTTCGGAAGAGTTTATTTTACAATTTTCTTGAACTTACAATTCAACTAGGAAAACTTAAAGAAGTTTATTTTCTTTTTATTCTCTGCTTTAATTACTTCGTTGTATTCAAGGGAAGCTGCGGATTTCCTTCAGCAATTTTTCTCATCAAGTTGATCTACTTAGTCAAAAACTCAAATAAAAGTGTAAAAGTGAAAGCTAAATTAAAAACCTTCAAAGCCATATTAATCTGAGTAGAGATGTTAAAAAAAAAAAATGAAACTGAAAAACTGACACCAACTGTAAAAAACCGAAAAAATTAGTTTTAGGCGAAAAGTGACTAAAATGGTACCAAGTTTTTTTTTTTTTTTTTAAATTAATAAATCAACATGCTTTAAACATAAATGCTCGAGTATACACACATGTAATGAGTTATAAATTTGTATGTAGAAATAAACGTACGTAGCCTCGTTGAGGATGAAGATGATAACAGCTCACAAAGCAAATTTTGACCTTTTCTGAGTAGAATTTTCAATGAATTATAGCTCGCGGGACGTGGAATATTGTTTGCCCAATAAAACAAATCCCGTGTGTAACACATTCATATTTGCAACTACTTCATAGTTATAAATATTTTTCACGAGATGAATGCTTCAATGTTTTTTGATTGTGAACTTGCTAAATAAGCTCGTTTAGTCATAATCAAAAACCACATAATCGTTAAAGTTCGCACCCACCTACAACTACCAATGAAAACGAAAACCCAAGAAACGAATTTAACCAAACGACACAGAAAAAAAAAAAAAAAAACAAAACAAAACAACAACAACAATATACTAGAAAGAGCAAACTGAAGGACAAAAAGCACCCGACAAGTTTGACTGAGGAACTCAAGTCCTTCAATCAATCTCTCTATTTTTATTAATCGGAATTACACATAACGAACTCCCTTGTACTTTTGTTTTTATTCACAAGATTCTCCAAAAGTCCGTAACAAACTCTACCAACTCTGTTAAAATTTTTTTAGTTCTATTTTTTTTTTTTTTTTTTTTTTTTTTTTTTTTTTTTTTTTTTTCTTGTTCACCTATCTAATCCTAATCTCTCTCTTCCTCTTCCTCTTTCTCTCTCGCGCTAGCTATCTGACATGCTTCGGTTCAAAGAGTCTAACGGTATGTCACTCTCTGCAATTTCCTTCGTCAGCGTGGCTTTGTCACTCCGTTAAAGATGTTACCCGAGTTCCTTATAACGTTGGCCACAAGAGACAAGGGCTCAAGATTTCTATCATCCTTTTTATGCTTTTACTTTAAGAAATTTTGCAAAAAGTGCTATCTAAACTATGATTAGGGCTATGGTACGATTAATCTTTGCCTAATCATTCCGTGTTGGAAATTTATCATATGTTTTGATGATGAAAAATTAATCTAGACTATAGTTAAATTTTATATATATTTTTTTCAATTAAAATTCTAGTTTTAATTATTTAGTGTCAAAATTTTAGCTACTAATTATAATATGTAACTAATAAGTAACATTTAGCTACAGGTTTTTTTTTTTTTTTTTTTAACAAAAAAATATAAATTTGTAGCTAAAGCTACAATTTCTTGTTGTGTCTGGACCGTTGAAATTTGAGCTATTTTTTATCAAATGGAACCCAATAAAAAATCAATAGCTCAAATCTCTATGAAACATCATCCAACATCTAAAAAAATTTTAAGCGTTAGATTTGATTCATGGTCACAATAGTAAAGATTATGAACAAATACGCAAGAGATCACAATTTTGCACGCTTTTGAATGTTCAAGTTTAGGCTCCAATATGCTCTGTTTTGGCAGTAAGAAAAACTTAAAAAGTATCTATTTTGACTTGACTAGTTGTTCCTTTCAAGTGTTATCCTTATTAAAATTTTGTTGCTTTAGATTACTACTTAACTAATCCTTCTCTTTCAGAAGAAATGCTCAAGAATGACCAATTAAGGTGGGCACAATTAGAAATGAAAATATACAGCCCATGAATCTACTAATTATTTCTGGAATGACGTTTACACGAGTCTTTGTTGTTTTACTTTTAATAGGACTATCGAGTCTTTGTTGTTAGAATAGCAAATTTTGCATTAAACATGAACAACACGAAATACCCATTTATGATCTCTTTGGCTTTATCCAAATGCAAATTGTCATAACATAAAATAATAATAATAATAATAAAATAAATCACTGTTTTTGAGCATAAGAGACAGAGATTTTCCATTGGTTAGGATCCAAGTAAATATATTGTTCGGTGACAGGCTACCTAATTTATGCATAATTACTCAATTATATATCTTATGCATCTCTTAACGGAATATTGTTAGACCCTACCAAATCTCCCACTGGTTTCGATCGTAACCATAATACCATATTAACCCCCTCTAAAGTGACTTGATTCACGTTTAACTTATAATAAGAAACTTAACCACCCTATGCTGATCATCATATGTGTTAGCTCTTGTCTAACTACCTGAACATGGGGTGGTACAGTCCTGTTATTTGATGAGTTTGGACTAGAAACTCTCCTCATGACTAAACTTTGTAGCAAATATATATATATATATATATATATATATATTTCTTTCTAATTTTGAGATTTCAATACTTGGTATCTTTGTAAATTATGCAAATTGCGTTTTCATTATATTCAGATTTTAGGGTGTGAAAAAAAAAAAATCCACAAGGGAGATTCTGGTTTGAACGATCGTCTATCACATGTTCTTTTTGTTTTTTTAATGTGATTTTGATCAAATCTATCATTCATGAAAAGTAATACCATCTAATTAAGGGTTCTTATAATATATGTTTGAGCCTATATATTTTATTAAGTACTACTGTATAATTATTTACCTATAAATAGGTACATACAACTGGGCTCTATTATCTGGATAACTATTACTTCTTTTTCCAGAAACTATATATGAACTAGCTAGCTACTTGTTGTCTAATTGCTTTTTTCATTCAATTACCACTATTTAAAGGGAAAAGGACCGAACTAATACAAGAATTAATCGCTATATATCTTGAGTATACTTTTTGACGAATTAAACTTGGCCCCCTTTTTCCCCCAAAATGTGGCAAACTCAAAAAATATATCTTAGAAAACGCGTTTTTATTTGAGGGCGGTGAGATAATGCATGAGCTAATTATGGTTTGAAAGACGAATGACAGTGTTGTTCTAATTTGTGATGAGAGGGTAATTTTAGATACTAAGATATATTTACAGAGAGAGAGCGTCATACCAAACGTCAACTTCTATCTTTGTTGGAAAAAAAAGAATGCAGTTGACCATTATGCACGTAAAAAAAAAAAAAAAAAAAAAAAAAAATTTTTTTTTTTTGGAGTTTTTTTTTTTTATTATATTTTTTTAAAAAAAAAAGGAGTTGTCCCTTATTCACGTAAAAAAAAAAAAAAAAAAAAAAAAAACTTTTGGTTTTTGGAGCATTACTGTTGTCATGTACATTTTTTAAAAAAAAAAAAAAGTATTTTGCCTTCTTTGATATGTAGATTAGGACAGTACGTAACAAAGTAGGCAATAATAGTCATAATATCATACTCGGAGAAATATGTTAGAATTGACTATCTAAGTGAAATTAATGACTTTCTTTATTTTTTATAAAAAAAGACCATCCGGTCATTTTTTGTAAAAAGTTATCGTTTCTGGTAGGTCTGTAGTCATTTTACAAATAAAAATTTTTAAAAAGTTATTTTACTAATAAAACTTTTGTTTTTATAAAGGCCTCATCATACTTGTGCACAAAGTAATTTCTTTAAACCAGAAAAAAAACTTTTGGTTTTTGGAGCATTACTGTTGTCATGTACATTTTTTTTAAAAAAAAAAAAGTATTTTGCCTTCTTTGATATGTAGATTAGGACAGTACGTAACAAAGTAGGCAATGATAGTCATAATATCATACTCGGAGAAATATGCTAGAATTGACTATCTAAGTGAAATTAATGACTTTCTTTATTTTTTATGAAAAAAGACCATCCGGTCATTTTTTTGTAAAAAGTTGTCGTTTCTGGTAGTTCTGTAGCCATTTTACAAATAAAAATTTTTAAAAAGTTATTTTACTAATAAAACTTTTCTATTGAGTTATTTTTATAAAGGCCTCATCATACTTGTGCACAAAGTAATTTCTTTAAACCAATACATATTAAGAACTAAAAAAGTAGTACAAAAATGTTTATATTTAACAGAAAAGAAAAGAAAAAATTAAAAAGTTGATTTGATTAAGCATCATATTGTTAATAATGACACTCTCCAGAAATTCAACCATGAAGGAAGTCTTGATATATAAGCAAGCATTGAAGAAATAATTTGCTTTCTATTAGAGCAGTGGGTGCAACAACTTCGTAAGGGTTGAACTAAGTTTTTGCCCAGGGATCTGACCATTTTGCTAAATCAAAACCTAATCCGCCAACCTCAAACAACCTTTTCTTTCCTAGTAATTTCCACTATAAAAAGAGCTCTTCTTCATCTCACTTCCCTCACAAGTTCTAATCTCATTTTCCACGTTAATTAACCAATTCAATATCTTTCAAACAAAATTTACCAAGGGAAGCTTGTGAAGAATAATGGCCTCTACTCGGTTCTTCGCTTTACTCTGGCTTCTCTTTGCTTCAGCATTGTTGTCCTTGGTCAATGCCGGCGGCAAAACTCACCACCATGATTTTGTAGTAAGTACTATTAATTCTCTCTCTCTCTCTCTCTTCTTTTTCTCTTTTAGAATCGTGTAATATAATTCTCGTCATTTTTTTTGACTCACTTCTTTTCTGCATGTGTATTAATTGATTTCCGTTTTGGAATATGTAATGGAATAATATTATATATATAGATTCAAGCGACACCAGTGAAGAGGCTGTGCAAAACCCACAACAGCATCACAGTCAACGGACAATTCCCTGGCCCAACCTTGGAAGTAAATAACGGAGACACTCTAGTCATCAAAATCACAAACAAAGCTCGTTACAATGTCACCATTCACTGGTAATTAAATTGCATGATCATGCATGCGTACCATGCACACACATAATATATATATATGTTACGTGTATATCTATATATTAAAAGACATATATAGCGTGTATGTATATATTTGCATGGGGCATGCAAGCATGCTCCCATGTAAATGGATGTATATATTTGCTTTTTTATTGTTTTCTTAACAAGAAAAAGAAATATATATATATATTCCAGGCATGGGATTAGGCAACTCAGGAGTGGATGGGCGGATGGGCCTGAGTTTGTGACTCAATGCCCAATTAGGCCGGGAGGGAGCTACACCTACCGCTTCACAATTGAAGGCCAGGAAGGAACACTGTGGTGGCACGCCCACAGTTCATGGCTCAGAGCAACTGTCTATGGAGCTCTCATTATTCGTCCTAGAGAAGGAGAATCCTACCCTTTCCAAAAACCTAAGCGTGAAACACCGATTCTTCTTGGTACGTGCATATATGATAATCATTAATCACTTAAATCAACAATATTATCCTTATTAAACTACTCTAGCTTCCTTAATTAATTAATTTTCTGTCCCATTTGGCGATTACAATTAATTATCAGGTGAATGGTGGGATGCGAACCCCATTGATGTTGTGAGACAAGCAACTCGAACGGGAGCAGCTCCAAATAATTCCAATGCTTTTACCATCAACGGTCAACCTGGCGACCTTTACAACTGTTCTAGCAAAGGTTTTCTTACTACTTTTTTTTTTTTTTTTTTATGTATACAGTATATATAGTAATCAAACGTTTAATTCTCAAAAAGTGGATACATAAACAAAAAACTTCCGGTAAAATCTTTTGTTGAAAACCCCATCAAAAATTATTACGTTAGAAATGTGTGAGAAAGTTTTCAAAAAAAAAAAAAAAAGAACATGTGTTAAAGATAAGAAATTAACGGTTTCCCGCCACTGCAATAATACTATATTTTTATTTTACAGATACCGTGGTGGTGCCCATAGAAGTGGGCGAGACGAACCTCCTGAGAGTGATAAACGCGGCGCTGAACCAGCCGCTCTTCTTCAAGATAGCGAACCACAAGCTGACTGTCGTCTCCGCCGACGCCTCCTACACCAAGCCCTTCACCACCGACGTCCTCATGCTCGGTCCCGGCCAGACCACCGACGTCCTCATCACCGGCGACCAGCCCCCGGCCCGCTTCTACATTGCGGCGCGCGCCTACCAAAGCGCCAGCGCCTCCTTCGACAACACAACCACCACCGCCATCCTCCAGTACAAGTCCGCCCCTTGCTCCTCCACGAACTGCGCCGCCACCAAGCCAGTAATGCCGCAGCTCCCCGCCTTCAACGACACCGCCACCGTCACCGCCTTCAGCCGCAGCTTCCGGAGCCCGCGGCCAGTTGAGGTCCCCACCGACATCGACGAGAATCTGTTCTTCACCATCGGCCTTGGCCTCAACCGCTGCCCCACGAAATTCAACTCCCGGCGTTGCCAGGGCCCGAACGGGACGCGGTTCGCTTCGAGCATGAACAACGTCTCCTTCGTGCTTCCGAGCACCATCTCGATCCTCCAGGCGTTCCAGCAGAGGATTCCGGGGGTTTTCACGGCCGACTTTCCGGCGAACCCGCCGGTGAAGTTCGATTACACCGGGAATGTGAGCCGGTCGCTGTGGCAGCCGGTCCCCGGGACGAAAGGATACAGGCTGAAGTACGGGTCTAGAGTTCAAATTGTTTTGCAGGACACCAATATTGTGACCCCCGAGAACCATCCGATTCATCTTCACGGATACGATTTCTATATAGTTGCCGAGGGTTTTGGGAATTTCAATCCCAAGACTGATACAAAGAAGTTCAACCTTGTTGATCCGCCTCTGAGGAACACCGTCGCTGTGCCTGCCAATGGTTGGGCTGTGATTAGATTCGTAGCTGACAATCCAGGTAAAATAACCTTCTATAGTACTATTTCCAGTACTAACTTTAGTTTTTCTATCACTTCTTGTCTGACGAGATCATAGATTCATAATCGTTTTTTGTCTTAAAAGAGTTATTTTGTGAACATGTGATTTGGTTAAAAACTTATAATCAACCACGTCAAGTTACTTAGATTTTTGAAAAATTTTTTAACTGATTTTTCCTTGTTTCAATGTTTGAGTTAATTAAATAACATTGACATCAAAATTGAACAGAAAATCTGAATCTGTGATCCGCGGTGATCATATAAACTAATATTTGTTTGATGTAATTAATAGGTGCTTGGCTAATGCATTGTCACTTGGATGTGCACATAACATGGGGATTAGCCATGGTATTCTTGGTGGACAATGGAGTTGGGGAGCTGCAGACGATGCAGCCTCCTCCAGAGGATCTGCCTCTGTGTTGATTGAAGATGATGAGATCGTATTCAAACATATTTGCTACGACAAAACAAAGATTCGTGATCAGAATAAATAGGGTTTCTCAAATCTTCCTTTATATAGTATACTATACGAGATCATTGTTTTTTGTTTTCCCCTGCATTTGGGGGGGGTCTTTTAGTTACATTGCTCTGTTTTTTAAGTGTACCTTTTTTTGGGATAGATAAAGAAGCGGGTCTAGAGGAGAGATGCAGTTGTTGCAGTAGTACTGCCATCTGATTTATACCCGACTTATTCTTTGTCGTTTTTGTTTTTTCTAATTTGTATTCTTTCTCGTAGCAAAATGTTAAACGGATTAATGGTAAAGGTTTTTTTTTTTTTGGATGTTTTTGGTATATTTCTATTTTTTTTTTTAATTTTGCAAAGTTTATGATGTGATAAAGAAGTGAAAAGCAAACAAGTTTATTGGTATAACACACTCCAAACCGTTTACAGACATTTGGCAATCATATTGTTCTTGTATGAGAGATTAAATATGGAGATTAACAACAAGAAATAAGAAAGAAGAGAGATTATTATTAAAAATAACAAGAAGGAAAGAGAGATTTCCTTGCTTTTCAAATGCAGTCAAATACAGAAGAAAACATGGTTAAAGTTTTGGAGCCTTTAGTTGGGAAAATAGATGGAAGTTATAATTAAAGGGAATAAAAAAAGGTCAATATGGGTACACCAATATAAATGTAGTAAGAGCTTGGACATAAGGACATTTGCAAAAAAAAAAAAAAAAAAAAAAAAAAAAAGCTGTTCTTTCGAAAAGTATTTACCTATATAATTACGACAAGTAAATGCAAAATATCACAGACGAATGAAATTCTAAACTACACATAACAACACAGTGACAAGATTAATCTACTCTCTCTAACGATCAAATAAACGGATAAGATCATTTCCATTACAAAATTAGTACATACGAAGGTAAGGAGTTTCTCTAAATCATCAAATCTGTACATTATACTATTACAAAGTTAGTTTGAACAAATTTAGTTCGCTCTCTGGATGAAATTTGTAAATCCATTTCTAGCACATTTTTGGCTTTAATTGAGAAAGAATAAAGGTAAGGGAAATCTACACAAAGATTTGGTTCAAACTAACCCAAACCCATACTAAGGGATCAAAGAACCGCGTAATTTTACAAACATCTGGTCATCAGCTATCTGGGGATTAATCTACCTGAGATCAACGAAGAAACACAACCTTTAAGGCAAGGAATTACAAGACGAATTTACTATTGTTGGACTTAACAGAGTTGCTTCTATAACCATCCCTCACGTGGTGCTGCATCACCAACACAGACACCATCCCTCCGCAGAAATCCGACGATGCCAGCGTGTCGCCGATCGCTCCCAGCTCCTCGTTCTCCACGAAATCCGACATCTCTTCCTCGCCCATCGACACATCCCAGCTCCGCCGCCGCCCCACCATCACCAAGTCGTAATGCCCCTCCACAGACCGAATGGCATTCATCAACTCTGCCTCCTCCACCACCTCGATCTCGCACCAGACCGCGAGAGCGTTCCCTACATTCTTCAATTTAAACTCCTCTGCCGCGGACTCGTCGAGGTTCACCTCATTTTGCTGTTCTTCGTTGGTGCATTCCTTCTTGTTCTGCAGAACAATTCGTACCACGGTGACAGTCACCTCCGACTGCTGGTTCGACATGCGAGTGGCGTAGGCCAAGGCCTCGCGGTCATCAGGTCCGCCGATGAAGATCGACACGATGTGGTAGGAGAAGTGGGACGAGCTCATTCCACAGGAAAATCCCCTGTCAACAAGAATTCCCACGGTACACGGCGCGTATGATTGAACATTGACGTTAAACTGGCGCAAGGCGGCGGCTATGCTGCTTCCGACGCTGTACCGTGGATTCTGGTGAAAGGGGACGATAATGAGAGGGATGAACTTGTCTTGGGCGAGACGGCAGACACTCTCATGCATCGTCTTATAGGACGCGATCATGATGAAGGGCATGATCAATACAGGGCCTCTGGAATTGTTCGAGTAATTCTCGAATGCCTGGATGATTTGATCGGTGCTGGCGGAGAAGGCGAGCTTGAGCTTCCTTATGTTCTTGTCGTAAGGGACGAGGAGTGGCGCCGCGAGTCCATTGAGTTCAGAGGTTTGGACAATGTAGGCACAGATCGAGCTCGTATCCGTCGGGTTGGAGGCCTCAAGTAGGGTGATGATGCTATGGACGCTTTCCTCATTGTGAATGGTGCAGAGGATCCGAAACTCGGTGTTTCGAGGCATGGAGCGGAGTGTCCTGAGGCCTCGGTGCTTGACGGACAGGTTGAGGCGCATTTCAGGCGTGCATAAGTACTTTATCAATGGCGTCACGATCATAGTCACTCCAAGCACGGACAAAACAAATTGAGTATAAGTTTGATCATCAATATACTGCAAATGGTAAAAAAGTTCTGGTTTAGCGTTAAGACAATGGTAAAACTAGAACTAGCACTATAAAAAGGGAAATGGAGGAAGAAAAATTAACCTGATTAGATTTCCATCGATGGTAATGGATTAGCTCAAGAATGCCCTTGATGTTCATTATTAGGCCTAGCATAAGAGCACTTCTAACCCTGATCTTGCAAGTAAGGGAAGCCAGGAAAGTCCCAAGAAACTTGGCCAAATACGCCAGAGCAATGATGATCTGAAACTTGATAAACACTGGCCAGTTATGAATGGCTTTCAGATCTGTGCTGTAACCAACTTGAACAAAGAACATGGGCATTAGAAATTCAGACACGATGGATTCTGTCTTAAGCACAATTGCTGACCCTAATGGTGGCCCTCCTGGAATGACCAAGCCAAGAAGAAGAGAGCCAAGAATAGAGGTTACACCTATACTGCTTGAGACTAATGCCATCACCAAAACACCAAGCAGCACAGTGGTGATATAGATTTCTTTTATTGGCTTCCCAACTGGGGTTCTCTTGATAGCCAACCGCACTGACCGGCGAATGACGGTGAAGGTGAGCAGCACTAGTGTCATGAAAGCACAGAGAGCCTGGATAGATTGGCTCAGCTTTTCTTGCTTAAATGCGACGGACAATGCCAAGAAGAACCAGAAAATGATGTCGTTGAGCACGGCAGAGGACATGGCGAGCTGACCGAGCTCAGAATTCGTGAGGTTGAGTTCCTCCAAGGCTTGAGTTAAGACGGGGAAAAATGTGTATGATAGAGACAAGGGAACATAGAAAACGAAGGGTCCTTTGATGCGTACACCGGGAAAAGTACTGAGCTGCGCAAAGAAGAGGCATGTCCCGACTGTTACGGAGGATAAGAAGCCAAAAATCCCAATTCTCCAAGCGTTCTTAGCGGACCTCATGATAAGGAATTTGTCCATCTTCACTCCCACAAGGAAGACGGAGTAAATTCCACCGATTATGGCCATTGTAAGCAATAACTCATTCTCCCTCGGTGGAAACAATAACTTCTTGATTAATTCGTTGCGTCCTAAAAATGAAGGTCCTAAAATAATGCCGCCCTGTGAATTGAAAAAGAATATAGAGTCACATTAATCACTCGGCGAACTTCGAACGAGTATGAAGAAATTAACAATACTTGGTTATGTTTTGAGTTGTTATGCCCCATCAGTCACCTTAAATGTATATTTTATCTTAAAAAAATACAAAAACAAAAAAAAAAATCCCCCAAATTTATTCATAATGTCTAATGATGTTTTTGGTGATTTCTTGGTTTGTTATAAATGTCAACGTAAAACAAGATAATTCATTCCATTGCTCATTTCTTACTTTCAATCTGCAGTAGGCATACACAATGGTGATATTTAAATGAAAACTTCTAAGTACAATGTTTTTGCTCTTTTCTTTATGAAATTTATGCGAATCAACCAAATATGTCTAAAACTTCTAAGTACATTGTTTTTGCTCCTTTTTTTATGAAATTTATGCGAATCAACGAAATATGTCTCCAGATCTCTTGTACATTGTATACTTCTCAAATTTATCTCTCCTTAACAAGGAAATATTGTGATCTAATTCAATAAACTGTGATAATCCACATAAACAAAACGAGAAAAGTACAACCTTGACGCAAGACCATAAAAAAATGACATTTTTTTATCCGTATTCATTCTTGTCAACGGAGAAAACAAAAGATAGCAAGAAAAGGCTAATTAAACAAGGGAAAAAAAACAAAGAAAAAACACAACAAAAGCATTGTCGTCAAATAGACAAATCAGATACAATAAGAACTCTGAAATAAAAAGTTTTAAAGAAAATCCTAATTTACAGGTCCCAAAAAAAAAAGAAAAAAGAAAAAAGCGTACCAGGACATAGCAGACGAATCTGGGCTGATTAAGAGGCCCGAGAAGGCAGTACAACAAGCGGGAGATGAAAGTGACGATGATGATTTTGGCGAGAACCGTAGGGTAAACGAAGTCGAAAGGATTATCGCCGTACCAAACGCCACGGAAAACGATGTTCCTGTTCCCCGACACGCAGAGAATCGACGACGAAGTCCAGCCGCCGCGGACGGCGGAGTCGGAGCTGTTGCTGCTGCTGCTGCTGCTGAGGGCGGCCATTTCGCCACCACCGACGACGCCCACCAAGTGTTCGACCGAAATACTCGCTGCTTATAAGGTATCCTCGTTCCCGCGTTAAGACAACCATCAGAAATAGAAAAAACGACAAAGAGAAAAGGAAGAAAAAAAAAAAAAAAAAAAAGGGCGATTAAAGAGGAGACTCACCTGAGGACAGTTTTGAACGTCAAAAGCGCCATCTAAAAGTGGCAAGCAACGGCTTTCTCTGTGTTTGGTTCCGTAGTGTTGGTTAAACACTTGTCCGGATAAGTGTACGCACACCCAAACACTCCCTTTCGACGTACATGGGCCTGAATCTTAGGCCCATCTGGTGGTTTAGTGTTCGGCCCTACTTTATGAATCTCTCTCTCTCTCTCGCTCTTGAGAAATATGAATGTAGCTGGGGAATGGGGAGAACATCACATTTCGAGGGGAAATAAAAATTAATAGTATGTTTACCTAAAAAAAAAAATTAATATTACGAAAATATCTCATGTCTCTGCTTCTCTCATGATGTCCTGCCTCGTCTTCGTTATTTTCTCTCATATGGTTTTAATAAAAACCATTTGCTACGATTTCTAATTCTTTTCTTCAGTAGAATATAAACATACTATTTACTATTATTATTTTCAAACATCATTTATTACTATTATTTTTACAAAATTTGTTATTCACTGTAATTTTTTCTTCTATTTAGCATTAATTTTCTACTTGTTTTTTCTTTCTTTTTTTTTTTCTTCTTCTTATGAAAAGAATGCCTCTCTTGTAAATCTTTTCTTGGAATGTTTGACTAGTTCTGATTTTCCTGCTTGGTCCACAAAAAATTGCAACACGGTAATTCCTCTAAATGCTCGCAACATTTCTTGTTGTCTTTTTTTCTTTTCTTTTTTTTGGTTATTTTTCATTGAAATCAACAAATAAAAATACAAAAACCTTGTTCTGCCTTGATTTATTCTTGATGTGAGTGTGGCGGGTACGATGAAAGATTTTTCTTTCTACTTAAGGCGTAATATCTGTGCTGAAAACATTAATTAATTAAGCAATATATATATATGGAATAAATGAAAAAAAAAAACACTTTTTAAAGAAAATAACTTACAAATGGCTTGATATTTTAAATAAAACTCCTTGTCATCTTTTTATCCTCATCCTTTTTATTTGTTTGTTTGTTCTCATTCCTATCCCTTTTACTTTGCTCTATTACTGGGTATTTTGTTTTTAAGCTTCTTTTACTCGGTATCATATACAGAGAAATATAATTCTAATATTAAACAGCTTAAAACGTGTGATCATCATCATTAGCAAAAAAAAAAAAAAAATAACCCCGTTCACTTCACCAATTCGAGTTTAGAATTCGAGTTTTGCTACAGTAAAAAACTCTCACAAACAATCACATCTAACTTTTTTATTACAGTAAAAAATTCTCACATAAAATCACATCTCAACTCGAATTATAAACTCAAATCAACGAAGTGAACGGACTACGTGTGAAGTCAATCGAAGTGCGCCCCTAGGGAGACAAAATCAAGATGAAAAAGTTGGTCAAAACCTGGGAACTGGGAACAACAACTAGATATGCCTCAGCAAACAACTACTTGCTTTAAAAAATAAATATAAAATATAAAATAAAAAGAGATAAACAACTACACTTTGCAACTTGCATAATTGCATATAATAATTGGTAAGACATTATTTTTTACGAAAATAGTAAAAAATAAGTCAATATAAAAAATTTAAATAAGTATATAAGCTAATTTTTAGTTATAAAAATTAATAGGTCATAACTTGTTAAGTTATGATTCATAACCAGATAAGCTATGGACAAACTTGTCAAGTTATGGTTCGTAGCCAGACAAGTTATGGATAAAAACTATAATTTATAGACAATAACTTGTCAAGTTATGATTCATAACCAGATAAATTATGGACAAAAATAATAATTTAACATATTTATTAACTTATATAAACTATTAACTTATTAATTTTAATTCATCTCAAGTCTTAATTTATTTTTCTCTTTCTCCCTATTTTTTAACATATCCTAAAAAATTACCAAGAAAACATAGTTGCTTAGTGGGTGTGGACCAACCCACGTTACCATTAGGCCTTCTTATTAATGGGTCCGCTTTGAAATCTGAAAACAGAGAAGTAAAATATAAGTCATTAGTGACATCAGATTTGCAAAACAAAGTCTTTAGTGACATCAGCTAAATTGGCAAGCTTTAGCTACATAAGGATAAGAGCTATTTTTCTTTCTTTTTCCTTTAATGGTAACGACACGTGTGCGTGTGCAAGTGGATCTACGTGGTACTCATGCAAGGCTGGAACATGTAAACTTTGAGCAAATTACCGATCGAAGTAGATAGGATTCATGAGTCATATGAGAAGGAATAATAGATAAATACATGGCTTTTGGTGGGCTACAGAAAAATAGGGTGGTGAGGTAGAAGAAAAAGCGAGAGTGTTCTTTAGCTATACATGGATTCACGTGAAACTTCTAGATATGATTGAATTGCCCTTGACAACTAAGCATATACTCGACTTTGCCATTGATCATTGTGCGTGTGTATTCCTTCAAGTGAAAATTTCGTCACCAAATTTTATTAATTGATCAATGTGGTAAATATTGGACATGCAGAAAATAATTTGGAGTTCGGTGATTTATTTTTGGACTGAGTGTAACATTTTATTCAGTATTTAGTGATTGTTAATGACATCGACTACGTATATACATCATTATTTAGTGATTAGTTAGTGTTAAAAAAAAAATTTGAAAAATATATATTTTATGTTGTTCTCTTGCACGCTTCACATGGTATTTTGGTATTAATTTCACACCTAAGTCTGCTTTAAGTTACAGAGTTAAAACTCTCCCTCTCTATGTCCCCCCTTTTTTTTTTTTTTTTTTTTTTTTTTTTTTTTTTTTTATAAAAGAAGAAGAAATTTTATCTACTAAAATATCTAATCACGGGAGATGTTATATGTTAAGTGACTATTAGTATAGTTATATTGTTTGGAGATAAATTAAATTTCCCTTTTCAGCATACGAAATTATTAAATCCGCCATTATGTAACCCTACAAATTTAAGGAATGGGTTTATTAACATTATGTTGTTTTTCTCTCTCGAGATTAACCTTCATTTGATATTATTGCATATACCTTATTTGGTATATGCATTAGGCAATAAGAAATTGTTAATTTAGATGGGTTGAAGTGGATACCTAATAGTAAAAGTACTCCGACAATTGCAAAAAGTACTAATAGGATGAAGCCTTTTTTTTTTTTTTTTTTTTTCCATCAAGACAATTATTTGACTATTTGGTTATATCGATCCCAGTATTTCTACCATGTTTTAAAATTGTAAAACTCCTTCTCGCTTGAATGAAAATATCGTTTTATCATTTTTTTCTATAAAAATATTTGGATACAACCTTAACAATTACGAGAGGGTTTAAAGCATTTAAAATTACAAATTACAATCCCCGAGAGAGTGCAATTGAACAAAGCTTAAACAAGTAGTATCACAAATCTTATGTTTTTAATATATGTAAGGCCAATATATTATTTATTTATTTATTTATTTGTGGTTTAGTTCTCTATTTCATGTAACTACCATAGTTTAAATGACTTTTTTTTTTTTTTTTGGACAGCTTCTCTTATAAGACCATAAAAAATTGAACTACTACTAGTTCTTTATTTTTAGCCCTTGAATATATATCTAAAATAGTTTGTTTTACATAATTTTTTAATTTGATATGATTTTAACTTGATTCAACAGGTAAAAATTGACACTATCAATAGACAGAATAACCAGACAAACTCCATTTTTTGTGATTCTAAAAAGATTTTTTCTTTTTAAAAAAAAATATATAGTATAGACTTTTTCCCTGAGAAATAAATATGCATACCATGTTTGGTTTTTTGTCCTTAAGCAAATTAGGAAACAAACATATAGTTCTATTTTTATTTAACTAATATTGCAAACCTATTTTAACAAGATTGCAGTTTGGTTCTTAGGTTGTCTTCCAATTGTGATTTGAACCTTTTCTTTAAAGGTAAAAATATATCATTTATAGTAAGAAAACGACATTATGATTAACTAGAAAATGACCTTCAAAAGGAAAGTGATATGACGTGCTTAAAAAGTTATTTGGAAATAATACACACATATAAAAATTAATAAAAAGGTGCTACTATTTAGTATTTACCATGTAAACTGTAAATCTTCCTAGATAAATCAATATCATTAATGGACCACTTATTTTAGTATAACTAATTTTACCTTTTCTGCATTCTCTTTTCCTTTTGATTTCGTATTCTTCTTCAAAGTATCTATATACTTTTCGTTTAAAAAACAACATTCCTCTAGTCTTTATTAAAATCAGAAAATTAAAAATTGAAAAGAGGGTCTATATATTATATAATTCACAATTCACATTCACATTGTTCATTGTATATAGACGCATTTTTAATAATTTTATTTTTAGTAATTGTTAATAACCAAATATTAAAATTTAACGATATAACGTAAAATAACCCAATCTATAAATATTTTTCATAACAATTAAATCATATATATGCATGTATATATATATATATATAACTAGTAATTAGACCACAATAAGGAAGTCTTTATTGACGTTTGAACTTTGAACCTCGAAATAATATCGGCATTCATGGGATGTTTAATGTTTCAAAATAATTTGAAAAAAAAAATAGCTCGAAAAAATACAATTACGTTATCTAAAAAAATTATAAAAATTACAAATTATCACTTTTTCCTCTTTAACAAGTTGGAATTAAGTGCTACAGCGAAAACCCAACCGCGTAGAAGATGTGTTTGGACCCTCCGATGACGCAAATCCAACCAACCACAAGAAGAGAATGAGCAAGAGACAGCGGATAATTAGCTAGCTGCCCCTCAGTGGCCCAACCGCAGTTTCACGAAGGATCCGGGACAATATCGGAAAATCAATAAAAAATTGTAATAACTAACTGATATCAGCATGCTTCAGCACCAAGAAAGCGAAAGGCGAGAGGTAGCCACGAGAGGTTCGGGATCCTTCGGCGACACGTGGCAAAAGAATTGGACTAGGAAAGGCCACGACCCGGCTGGAAATCGCCGCGTCATTGATATCCTCACGAGCCCCATAAAATAAATTAAACAATAAAGAAATATCAGAAATATCTAGAGAAGTCTATAAATATCTCTCACAACTTGTAGGCTCACGATTTCTGGATTCTCACACTGCTTAAGGAAAGAAAAGAAAAGCACTTCTAAACCCAAACGAAACGAAACGAAACGAAAGTCTCTCTGAAAAAAGTTTATCTCACACTTTGAAAAACGAACCCAGAAAATACCGGAAGAAAAGAAGGGGGAAGAAAATCGAAAAGCTTCTGATCTTCGTTTGTCGCAAGGAGGTTTAGTTTTCTCGCATGTCGTCTGAGACGATTGGGAGGTTAGTTTGATCGATTCCTTTTCTTCTTCTTTTTTCCGTTTCTTTCGGTTTTTTTTTTTGGGTTTAGGTAGTTGGATTTCGTTTGGTTTTTGTTTTCCTCGAGTGAAATTGTTCAAGAAATCGAGGTTTTATGTTTTGATTGGGTTCCAAGGAGTTGGTGGATTTTTTTCTTCCTCCTTTTCTGTTTAATCAGAGATTTAGGGTTTTATTGATGTAGATTGGGGATTCTTTTTGGGAAACGGCATTTTCTTGTTGAATTTGATTGCAAAATTTGTCATAGTGCTTTTAATTGATTTTGGTTTGCTTGGTTTGCAAGTAAATTTCTGTCCTAAGCCGGGCAAGGTTGAACCTTCTTTTTGAAATTTCTGCTTTTTTTAATAGAAATTCTTGGAACCCAAGAAATCTGTCTAAGAAATTTCCTTTTTTTGTTTCTCCTAGAATAGACTAGGAAACTACTTGGATGGGTAGTGTGAGATTGGATTCTTGCTTAAATTTACGCATCTGTATTTCCCTCAATAAATAGGAAATTGATTGAATATTTTTTCTGCAGATTCTGAAAGTGTCGCGTAATTATATAATCCTGATTGGGGATATCTGTTTATTGAGTTCGGAAGAACAACGTTTTGCTGTACTTTTGTTTCTTGATTGAGAGGTGGTTGCTTTGAAAGACTATTAAAAAATTTCTGTTTTTGAGAAGTTTCAAAGAATGGGTGCTCTTAATCATCAAGGTTTTAACTCGAGTTCTCTTCCTTTCGATTCTACCAGGAAGAGAAAGACGCGGAGTAGACGGGAAGGTACCTCTGTTGCTGAGACACTCGCGAAGTGGAAAGAGTACAACGACCGTCTAGATTCTGGCAGTGGCGACGACGGCAAGCCGAATTGGAAACTTCCTGCAAAAGGGTCGAAGAAAGGATGTATGAAAGGCAAAGGTGGGCCTGAGAACTCGCGGTGCAATTACAGAGGAGTTAGGCAGAGAACGTGGGGAAAGTGGGTTGCCGAAATTCGGGAGCCTAACAGGGGAAGTAGGCTTTGGTTAGGTACATTTCCCACGGCTTTGGAGGCTGCTATATCTTATGATGAGGCTGCCAGGGCTATGTATGGTCCGTGTGCTCGCCTTAACCTCCCGAACATAACTGACTACACTTCGTTTAAAGAGAATTTGAAAGATTCTTTTTCGGTTGAGACTCCCTCAGGCTCCGACTCAACAACTACATCGAATTCCAACCTCTCAGAGGTCTGCGCGGTTGAGGATAACAAGGTGAAACCTGTTGTGTCGAGTGTGAAGCAGGAGAGTGTTGAAGGTGAATCAGAAATCAATCCACGGCTCACACCAGTCACTGAAGCCGCCGCGCCTATTAGTAAAGTGAAAGAGGAAGAAACTCCTAAATGTTTTAAAACAGAAGCTAAGGATGAGCTGATGGATATCGAGGATCGGAGTTGGGCCGATGTGTGTGGTGTTGATGGGGATTTGCAGAGCTTCACAATGGATGAGATGTTTGACGTGGACGAACTCTTGGGGCTTATGGACAAGAACACGGACTCGGTGGAGGATTTATGCTACAATAATGCCGGTCAGCCAGTGTTGTCCGACAATAACAATTTGCAGTGTGACAAATCATCTAACTTATCATACCAATTGGAAAACCCCGATGCGAAGTTGCTCGGAAGTTTGCATCATATGGAGCATGCGCCTTCGGGTGTCGACTACAGCTTTGATTTCTTGAAGCCGGGAATACTAGAGGATAATGATGTTGGTATAGATGATCAGGGCTATCTTAACTTGGGAATATCTGATTATGGGTTTTGAGATGCAAAGTGAGGTTTAAAAAAACAAGATTTCTGATTGAAGACACTGCAAATCTGGAAGATGGACCTTTGGTATATTCACATGGGAATTGGAAGGCTAGAAGAAGAATGGTTCTCGAGTGTGATAAGATTAGTTTGCTACACGGACTAGTAATTTTCCAGCCAATGTTTCTATACGTCCTTTTTTTATTTCTTTTTTACTTGGCGCTAACTCGTTTGTTACATCTGGACTGACCCGTGAATGAGCTGATTCTCTATGGCTTTTAGGTTGGAGAATTTAGCTATTAAATCACTTCTTTTATGTTTTCCTTTTCATCTTTTTCCCCACTCTCTTTGTCCATCTCCTGGCAGTTCCCAGGAAACAGAACTTGACCAGGCCACTCACACATATATACTTGTCTGTTTAGAAATCGAAGTTTGTTTAAAAGAGTTAATGTTACTGACATTCTTTTTTGTACATATCATATGGTATTAGAGTTACCTTTGGAGTTTGTTGCGGTTGTGTATAAACTAAAACATGAATGACAAGGCTCTCAGTCTCTTTTAGCATACTGTATTCTATTGATCTTGAAGTGCCTTTTTTTGTTTTTTCAAAACAAAAAAATGGTTTATCGTTTTTCTAGCTTCTTTATATATGTAAGGCTTGGGGTTTGAGTGTGGTCGAATAATAAGTGGGATTGTAGAAAGTCTCAACAATTTTGGGGTAGCCTCCACCGTTGTTTACTTGGCTTGGCTGTTCTCTGTATTGTGTCTTTGGTTTCTTACCTCGCAAAACCATTATGGAGCTAGTGGAAATGATACCAGATCTTTGCCTA